TTGATCTATCAATCTAACAAATTAATATGAATTCTTCCCTGAATATTTCCAATAATCAGCAACTTTCATTTATTGTCTGCCCAAGAATATTGAAATTCTATGCACCACTCATACTTTATTATTAACAATCAATCTTAAAGGAACTCCGGCCTTGTGAAGCTTTGGAAAGCCGTAAGCTGAAAATGTTCTTGCGTCCCTTTAATGAAGTGAATCCATTATCCACTTCACAATTTCTACCTTGCTTACACAAACGTGAAACGATTCTCTAAGTTTGGCCTTAGGACTCTCTGTCGAATCCTTCACTTAAAGTATGTACGTTTTAGAGTCATTAAAATGAACCATCATTTTTTCTATATGACTTAGTCTATCCAAGATGACCACTGCAACACTTTCATTTGCCTTCAAAACAAACGGATCATTTTGGTGCAAATATCTAGAAATCTTATTCGAATCATGAGATTTCTTTGGAATAATTACTTGGTCAAAATAAGGCATTGCTTCGCTTTCTATACTATTCTTAGCCTCATAGGGCAGCTTACCTGTTAAGTTAATTAATTCAACCATTAACACCATAAAATGATTCTCCTCATTTATAAAGATAAAGTTTGGACCCCTTTCCATGAGGAGTTCAACACTATCATGTATAGGTATGCTGGATAAATTAATGACTTAATTTTTGTTAAAACGAAAAGCACTAAGTTCAACTTCATTCTTATTGTTTCGGTATTTTCCTTGGGTTGATCTTAATGCTTAATTTCCTTAATATTTTTTTATATCGGCATCTGCGAATTTTATCTATCCTTTCTGCTAGTTTGTCTTCAATTGCTTCGCATAAAGGCTGATAGTTGGATGAGAAAACCTTTTAAGAAGCAGGACCAAATGAAATTCATTAGCATAATGATTGTTGGCCTTTCGAGTTGCTATGCCTGTTCATCGAAATGTTAGTTAAGCCTGATTTAGACGAATACAACATAAAACAGTCGAGCATAGTCGCACTTCCATTGGGCTTACCGTGTCCACGCTGGGTTCTTAGGTTGTCCGGCAGGCGTGGACGCATAGCTACTGGTAGTGCGCTGTAGTAATTGCCTGCCGGGTCCTGGTGGCTCATCGAGAGTGCCGGATTCGCCTCGAGTCTGTGTTCTGATTCGCTTCCAGCTTCAAAATGCCAGACTCGGCCAGGTACGGAGGCCTGCTGGTAGTGGTCGTCGGACCGGCCACGAATCGGGTGATACCACCAGAGGTCCTCTTCCTCCTCCTCCTCTTCCTCCCCTTCCACTTCCTCATTCTCCTCTTCTTCTTCCTCCTCCTCTTCCTCCACCTCCTCCTCCTCTTCCTCTTCATCCTCCTCCTTCTTTTCCTTCTCCTCTTCCTCCTCCTGTTGCATCAGCCTCACCGCCATCTCCTCTTTCGCCAAAAAGTTAGCACCCTTCACACGAGCAGCGGAGACGTCGGTTGAAAGAGAGGGCAGGCATCGTTTTCGGCGATTGCATCTGTCGTCAACAGCGACACAGAAGCCGATGGCATCTGCATGGGTCGTATTTACGTCAAATTCACCTCGCCTGCCTCCCTCCCGCACTCCTTCAGTGCCACTTTTCATGAAGCCCCCGGAAAACATTGTCTTCTCCCCCCTCTGTCGACCAAGCTTCTGCTTGGCAATATCGCCAATGGGGTCACTCAGATCAAAGAATCCTGTAGGCCCCAGCAACTCATGTCGCTTCGAGTGCAAATGGTGCTGATCAGGCTTTTGACTGATTTCCTGGTGCGTTGATTCTTGTTGCCTCGGAAAGCCAATCTGTAGTGGGCAAACTGGCACCGATGCAGGCCCCGTCCTCCGGGCGAGCCCGCCCGAGCCGGACAGGGTTCGGCCGAGGGAAAAGTAGGTCTGATTCTCCTCGATCATGGCAACTCCTGACTCTACCTGCGCTGCTGTACAGTACTTGTGCGGCTCCCTGACTTTGCCTCCTTCTACCAGGTTTTCGAGTTGTCGGCTCTCACAAATGCTTCTTCTTGCAGCAGAGCTGGACATTACCAAGTGGGGCGTATTGTGCTTTCCAGAAGCATCAGTCTGATGAGTGAACGAATTAGTCGGCGTCGCGGGCAAGAGGGAGTAGATCTCGTTTGAGGCCTGCAACGAAAGTTCGTCTGGCACAGAGCCAAATGCCTGAGGAAAGTGAAAGGTAAGAGAAGAATGGAAAAAAGGAGGATGACTGGACAGCATTTGGAGTACTTGTTTACAAATGTGTTGGCTGTTTTGGCTATCAATAAAAGTGACAACATGAACCAGAATGGCGGCTCTCTTTTAAATCGTCCTTCAAATAATAGTTATAGAACTAAGGTAATAATTACTAACAATATGTGAATCATAGATAAAATCATTTGAACGGAGAGTTACGTGGCTCACGGCAGTTATCGTTTGACGAAAATTGCTCTTTGGGCC